GTCACCGTTTACCGTGGGCTATCCCGCTGGCTGTCTATTATCGAACTTCGCAACGTGTCACGGCAACTTGGAGAACATTGGGCGCCTTTTCAAGTGGTACCTAACAAACAGGTGCACTGCGTTCTGTATTACCATGCATCATGGTTCATTCCAAGAACCAAGCAATCTACCAAACGTTTGAAAAGTATGCAGTGCATTGGACAGCGTTACTCCGTCCTTGCTATTATAATTGCCCGTGCAGACCAGAAGCCTGATTCCTAAACGGCAGGTCACATAGAATGCGGAGAGATGAAATCCGATGGAATCCAATGTAGTACACTTCTCTCATCTGTTTTTCCGGCCAAGTGTACCGCAGTACGCATTCTTTCCGTTTTCTCTCCACTCTTCATGCAATCTTTTTTACCTCGCTTAAGGTGATATGACGCACTCAGACAACGACCGTTTGCTTGTATTCTTCATGCCTGCCGCACCTTCCTAATTTAACCTTTTCAGTCCTTGCCTTACCTGTCTGTAACACCTAAGTAATTGTTGTTCTGCTTCCTTTGTCACTTCCTTTGGCACTTGTTTTCCCGCATCATGCTTTCTTAGTTATACACTGTTACCTGCTTTCAATGTATGCCCGTCGCTGCGTCTTATGTCCTTATGCACTGAACTATGTGAAAGCTGTATTGTATGCCTGCGCTCCTCCCGTTCACTGTTATCCCATCCATGAAACCTTTGTTAGGTGGCTTCTGCAGATCAAACATAACTCAGCCTAACCGTCTGCATCCTAGACGATCATTTATTCACTACTCGCTCCTTGCTTGATGCTCAGCCGACACTTACTGCACTGTGACAGCTACGGAAACAACCATGCAGGTTAACGTTGTAGGTGCTAAGCGGCGGTGGAGGTAAATGGTTCGTTACATAGGCGAAACAGATGGTAAATAAATAAATAAATAAATAAACGTTTATTCTCGACAATGCGAGACACACCAGTACAGGCATGATCATGATTAGCTAACATAGTGTGATCAAAATGTACAGAGTACATGTTTGGCATAACAGTGTATGTAAGTGTATGGGTGTATATATGTATGTAATTGTCTATGAATGTAGCTTGTATTTTTGAAGGTGCCGCAGAATTCTTGACAGTTTGTTATCGGTAGGAATGTGAAAATATGCGATCGATCTCCGTGAGTTGGATACCATTTTCCGGATGTCCACGGCCCAGTGACTTTATTTTGTGGCGAGTCACATCCGCCACGTCACAGTGTTGATAAGCAGACATTTGTGGCTTTTTATAGGGAGAACGCTTGCCGGGCGAAAACCCACCACGTCCTGGAACACTGCCGCCGAACTATTTGCTGGAACGGGTTAAACCCGAACCACCCAGCTGGCACCACGAGGAGGTTGTTCGGCTAGCCATTTTAGGAATGTTCACCGCTAGGTGAGTGAGCGTGTATCTAGCTCTGAACCCACCAAGGGTGAACACTGAGAAATGGTTTCCGAAGGCTCATACGCGCACCATACACAAAGCTGTGTGGCAAAGAATGACATAAAGTGAAGTGCATGGGGAGAGATAATGCAAGTTCAGACGGTTACTGACCCCACCTCTGAACGTATGTTCCCCGTGCTGCCACCGGTGTAGGGGAGACGCGAGGACATAGAACAGGGGTAGCCCTGAAAAGGGCCGTTGGGTCGTTCACAACGGCAACAACGTGCGAAAGGGAGGACGTATACAACGTACAGATGTTACGGCGACTTGTTATCCACAGCGCGCGGCAAACGGTGGCAATTCCAATACAAGGTGGCATGGTCATTCACGGGTGTTCTGTCGTCCCATGGCGATACAGCGGACACCACACCCCCGGGTGTGAGAAGGAAGTTCTGCACTCATCACGCATGAACACGGGCATGGCGAAACCCGTCAGTCGTAGGTGGCTCTGTGTCGGCATACCATCGGCAGGCTAGAGGCGGTGCACGTCGGTGTAACTGCAAAACAACATGACACAATGATGGCACTTCTTACCGGTAGGCAACTGCGATAGCACGTACACATGTCGGTGGGCGATGCGTCGGACGTGACTCAGTGGCGGCATTGAATCGGCAGGCTAGGGGCGGTGCATGTCGGTTTCACTGCAAAACAAGATGACACCAGGATGGCTTTCCTTACCTGTGAACAACTGCGATTGCAGGTTATCATGGCGGTGGGCGATGCGTCAGAGGTGCCTCAGTCGCGGAGGTGATGAAGCTGCCTGTGGGCGGTGCATGTCGGCTTCTCTGTAAAACACCATTGCACTTACATGGGATTTGTTACCTGTGAAAAGCTGTCGTTGCAGGTTAACATGGCGTTGGCGAAGCGCCCGAGGTGGCTCCGTGTCCCAAGTTTATGAGCACACTATCGGCGATACACGTTGGTTTAACTGCAACACAAAATTACACATCCATCCTACTTCTTACCTGCGATGACATACGACAGCGCGAACTTGGAAACCATTTCTCCGTGTGTACGCGTTCCGGTGATAAACAACAACCATGAAGCAAGAGAACGAATAACTGTGAGGATGCTTCCATGAATTTTGAGGTCCTGTAAGCATGGGTAACACACATTTATCTAAGTACCTACCGGTACGTAGGAACACATGCACTGTCATTGATTTCCGCTGCATAAATGACAACCGATTTACGGTGGCTAAAGGACCGTCCGTAACGGAAATACTAGGAGTAACTTACCGTTGCACAATGTTTACTCCGTGCTGCAGATCTGTCGGCGCTTTGATCCATTGAAATTCAAAGGTGTTCACATCAAGGGGAAAAGTAAGCAAAGCATGCTGTAAGGGAAATGCACTCAGGGTAAGAGCACAGATAAGGTACATACCTGAGGCGTGTACCATGCAACCGCGGTCAAGCACGTAACGGTAACACTATGACGAGCAGGAGAAGCACAGAAATTCGTCCGCACCTGATTAGCACACGCATGACGCGTGGTACCATTGGGAGCACGCGTCGCACTGGACCCATTGCACCCAATCTCCATGACCATCAACATCGTCCTCTTGATGACATACTCCGCATACATCCGCCGAAACGAAGCCCTGATTTCCCCGTTTCTGTCTCACAGGAACCCGGTAGCCCGTGGATTTCCGGGTGCGAAGGTTACGGAATCCTTTGCCCCTTAGCGCACTCTTATCCGGGCTAACCTTTGTCACCCTGCACTAAAACGGAAGCACCCTTATCGC